GCCATGTGCGTTGGATGTCTATGCTTTGGCAAAAGCGTCGTATATGACGCCTTGGGATGAGAACGGCCTCAATATTCCACCTTCGGCTGGACACCCCAGTGTTCTCCATATGCATTCCTTATGGGTCATATGTGTATTCTCTAAGTATGGTTTTCTTACGAGAGGTTCTCTCGTATTGCGTAAGCCCATCGGGTCACCCTGGCCACCAGACGAAGTAGCATCTCACGTGGAGAGTGTTAGATCGGGGTGTGGGTGAGGGGACTCTCTCTCTAAAGAGGTCATTGAGTCTCAACCGTAATGACACGATGGTCACGTTCCCGTGGGGAGAACGTGAGTCATCCACAAAGCTGCTCTAGCGTGATCACGCACAAGCACGCAGAGCAGAGAATGTGCCCATCAAAAACGGAAATAAGACGACCGGAAAGTCGACCGCAACCAGTGTTTTCCGGAATGCGGAAAATGAAGTATACCTAGGTCTAGAGAGAACCGAGGTTACGTTAGGTAACCGATTCATTTCTTTCCATAAAAATAACTGCATTAGATGCAGACCTTTCACTGTAGGATAAAATGTGGTCAAGAGTGTGTGGTAATCTTTCATCATCTTGCCACATCATCTCAACAGAGGTGTGTGGGTATGGACTGTCTGTCTCTAATTAAATTTAGTATCTGGACCGAGGGTCGGATATCTCTCCCAAATAGAATTACACACCATTCAGTAATTCTTAATAGGCCTCCAGGCCAGCACTAATATTCCATATCAGTCATAATTTACTTTTTAATGGGAGACCCTGCTCTTTCAGGTAGCTCTTGCAATGTGGAGAGGTAATTTCACCCCGTTAAAACGCCCCTTCACAGAGCTTTACCAGAGGGCTCTGCCATCCTAATGGAACTGTCATAGAGATGTAAATACCATTGGCACTTTGTGAAACAAGCCATGAAGGGCAGGCAAGTTAAGCACAAGCATGACCCTAACTAAACCTTTTACTCTCTGATACGCGCACACAAGCACAAACAGACACCCACATGCTTAGGCATCTGATGCAACCAAGAAAGCACTTCAGCACTGAGAAAGAATAACAACAGGAGTGATAAATAACCTAACTAGACAAAGTCACTTTGAGAGTAGATTAACTGACTCAACATATCAATCAATCATAAGTGATTGTTTTGCATGAAGTCACAAGTCAAACTTCACTTCAGGTTGAGTCAACATCTTTGACAGCAGCACACCACGGTTTATATTTAAGAGCAGGAAAACATTTACACATGCACAATCAATTCGATAAGGTTTAAAATATTCAGGCAGTGCCGCTGCAATGCATTTAAATGGGGATTAAAGGGAAAGATGGGCTGGTTATGACATCATCAAGTTCATGAATTATAATTAGCTCATACTGACATTGCCAGGTAATTTTCCTAGACTGCCCAGCCATATAACTTAATATTCATGAGCTAAGTCTTCACCTTGGTTCACTTCATAAATATCCAGTTCAAATATATTCAAATTCCATGTTCTTGAAGAATGTTCCACGCTGTCATGAAATTGAGATGTAATTTCAGATCACCTTTACATTTGCTCAGCTATTTTCACACAAACTTAACTGTACTATATTGATGAAGTGTTTAAGTCATGTTAATCTGTAAATTGGGTCTATAGCTCATATAAACTGAAAAGTAGACTTATAATAATAATAATAATAATAATAATAATAATAATAATAATAATAATTCATTACATTTATATAGCGCTTTTTTTTTCTGGAAACTCAAAGCGCTTCACATAGAGGGGGGGGGGATCTCCTCAACCACCACCAATGTGCAGCATCCACCTGGATGATGCGACGGCAGCCATATTGCGCCAGAACGCTCACCACACACCAGCTTACTGGTGGAGAGGAGACAGTGATGAAGCCAATTGGTGTATATGGGGATGATTAGGAGGCCATGATGGACAGAGGCCACTGGGCAAATTTGGCCAGGATGCCGGGGTTACACCCCTACTCTTTCGAAAGACATCCTGGGATTTTTTATGACCACAGAGAGTCAGGACCTCGGTTTAACGTCTCATCCGAAGGACGGACTTGAAGTCCCCTCTCCTGACATCTGAAAGCAATTATTCTTTTTTCTCATGTCAAGTGCATACATGAATGACAAACACATTGCACTTTCCAGAAAAAAAAACAAACAAACTCAAATGAAAGGTTTGTTTTGGCATGTTAGATGCATGTGGGTGTAACACTGCACATTTCTTGATTTCCCATCTACTAAAAACTGCCAGTGTGCAGTGTGTGCTCTCTTAAAAAAAAAAAAAAAAGCACACTCTCATTCATTTCATATCTGGGAGTCTCTCGGTCCAATCATTTTGTAGGTCAGTGGATATACACATGGGTCAGACACCTGTAGTTTTTTTTTTCTTTCCTAATGTGTCGTAAAGATAAAGGTGCTTTTTGCCCCGAAATATATATATATAAAAAGAACAAAACTGAAACACCAGATACTAAAACTGCTATAGTAATAAATTATAGTCTAAATTATAGTCCCAATATGTTCAACATCATTTTGAATTGTACTGTTATGACATCACAAAGACACCAGAATGTACTGTATATCCAATCCCCAAAAAGTTACAAGTCTATATATAGACAAGTCCAAGTTGGATTCTATAGATTCTTAAAATAAAATAATATAATTTATAGACTCATAGATTATAGTGACATGATACAGTGTATAGTTCTAATGATTTCAGGATGTATAGATTCCACTGAGGTCATAATCATTTTGAAATGTATCACCACGGATAATGTTTTAGCATTGATTTTTGTAATGTATTAGTGAGGTTTCTTTAGGCTCTCGAGAAGCTCTTAAGAGAAACCAATGCTAAAAACAGCCAAGGTCACAACTCATTGGAGCTACTCAATTTTTGTTTTTGTTAGAATCTGTTTTTTTTTTGCATCCAACCTATAGTCATTGTATTGAAATGATCTGATAAACAATAAAACCTTTCTCACTCTGAATCATCCCTCTGTGATGGGCTCCCCTACCTGAGAAGAGTATTCTATGGGTCGCTGTGTGAAGGCAGGCAGGCTAAATGGCAAGGAAGGGAACTGACAAATTCTTTGAAGATGCCAATTAGACAAGCTGCCATTTAGATCAAACACACCAAGCCTTTTTCAGTGCAAAGCCATGGCATTTATCAGCAATCCCTGCTTGTTAGGAGAACAGGCTGAAGGCTAAAAGTTGAAGGTGTCCAACCTTCCTAACAGGATGAAAGAACCTTCTCTATAGAGAAAGGAAATGGACTGAGAACTGAGAAGAGTGAATACCACCCATCTGGTTATTGCAAACTCTTTTTCCTTTTTTGACCATTTCTCTTCAATCCCTAAACTTTCATACAATAGAAAAAAATAACACAGACTCTAGTTTTAGCCAACACATGTCCGTGAAGAGGAGGGTTTGTGTCAACACAGAGCAACTCTTCCAATCATTTAACAAGAATAGGTTTAATTTATTTTTTATTTTTTTCAAACAGACAATTTAAGACTGAATGTCTGCATTCGGTAAGGTGGGTGAAATTTAAGGCTTGGCGAGTGTCTGTCAGGCTATAGTTTTTGTGGTGTGTTCCACATGTAGGCTCTTGTTGGGATCAAGTCATGGCAGTTTGCCCAATTCAGCATGTTGAATCGGCTTCAGGGCTGTCAGTGAGAGGGGAACTCTGATTGGGTGTTCAGTTTAGCGAATGAGTCGAATTAAGCAAGAGCAAGTAAGTCAAGATGACACAGACAGAAGGCTGATCTAATGTCATGTTATTCTACCCGAGCATTCCAAAATGTGAATATTTTCATGACAACATGAGTCGCTTAAAATGAAGACAGTTATCAACATAACTGATATTCAAAATGGTAAGCAAATTGGTAATGGGGCTTTGTTTACGTTTCAGATATCTTGTATATCCTTGTTTCGGTTTCTCCTTTTCAATGACGAATATACAGTACTGATACCTGCTGATATTGTATTATAGGCACAGAACACATGTGCTAGTTTGCAGTTGGTTGTGGTCTGTGCTGTGTGTTCAGGCGCAGCTTTCTGGTCCAGACGCAGCCTACGAGAGGCAACAACAGACGGATTTCGTCAACTCTAGTTCTTTGAAGTCGGCTTGGTGTGTCCCAGGCTTTACACTTCAAGTAAGATGAAATATGCCACATTATGGTGGACTATTTCTATTTTCATCTTCTCAAACTGGCTTTTAGCTTAGTTATCAGCCCATGCTAAAGCCTTTGAAGACTGTAGAAAGGACAGCGGAATTGAAATCATTAAAGAGGCAGTGTGCCTTCTCTGTCACAGCTGATAAAAGTGATCTCAATACTGATTACACACGCACACGCTTCCTCCCTACTTTCCACTGTATATATACAATATATATATATGAGGCTATACAATGAGGCTAAAGGCATACCTTAAGAAAAATTTGCTTTTCACTATTCTCATAGTGTATGATTGCAGAAAAAAATTGAGAACAAAAACAGATTTTGTGTGTAAATAAATCATAAAAGTGGTTTATTTTGTTTAAAAATTATATAAGTGTATAGAGTGGCAAGGTGGGCCTTTTACCACACACACAAAGTAAAAAAGGCACACATTACTTATACAATACCTTAGATACTTAATATGTTTTAAATAAGTTCAAAACAATCACTTTAGCAAAGTTTGCTGTTTTATTTATCAAAATTTTCCATTTCTTCTAAATAAATAAATAAAATGACATTTTTTTGTTCAGTAAACATAATGTCATTAAACTATGTTAATATATATATATATATATATATATATATATGCTTAAATACATACCTAAATACACAACTATATAGTTCTAAAGTATTATTACAACTAAAGTAAATATTCTCAAAGTATCGAAAGAGATAGAGATCCCAAAACGATCCCACTTTTACCCCGTAGAGCCTTTATGTAGAACCCTATCAATCCAGAGGTAAAATGTTACTCACTGAGGTGGGGAATCTGGGTACATGACGTTGACTTGAGACAGTGTCTCCACATAGGAGTCAAAGTCAAAAGCAGGGGGAAAGTCCTCAACACAAGTGGATCTCAGCTCTCCAATGGAGCCACCATATGAGAGGCCATCTGGAGCTGTAGAAACAACAACAATAACAAAACATTTCTATTCATTCAACACGACTGTTAACATTTCTGTTTCTTATATTATAAGTTTGAGAATTTTAGTTAGACTTTCATACATTGCAAATTTTTTTGTACGTTATTTATTGCCAAGACCAATATAGTACGGAGCCCCTAAAAAAAGTGACCTGCAAAAATAAAAATATACTGACTTTCACGTGCTCACGAGAAAATTCTCACTTTATGTGATAAATAGATTCAATTTTTAGCTTTTATTCACATTTATATTGATCAACACACATACATTCACATCAACTATAGTGGAAGCTCAAACAGTTGATTGATGCTTATGAACAAAAGAGATAGGTTCGCACATCACACAAGCACATTCAAGCTTCCATTTTTAATTCCTAAATTAAATCTGTTTATCATATAAAGGGATCTTGTCTCTTCAGAATACTGGGATTAAACCGCTATCTCTTTATGCACTTTTTAAACAATCAACGTCTTAGTTGTGAAGACTTTCAATGGAGGTACAGAAATATCTCAGATTTAATTTATAACATCTTCATTTGTGTTTATGGGCGGCATGAAGGCGATTAAATGATGACAGAATTTCCATTTTTGGGTGAACTAACCCCTTTAAAGCATTGCACTACCAGTGACAATGTACTATGCTTGTTGTTATGACATAAAACCATTTTCTTTAAAGTGTTAGTTCATCCAAAAGTGAATATTCTGTCATTAATTACTCACCCTCATGTATTTCTATGGGAGTCTCTCGCTATTCATGTGAGCACCGTGATGCATGTGTGTGGTTCTGTGCTGACATAAAAGTCAGCCAATACTGAGCCGGTGTTCTGACATAAAACCCGGAAGTGCTGCACTGTGTTTACAACAACATTAGTAATGTCATAGACTGGCATGGAAGAAAAGAAATTGTCGAATAAAGTCGAAAGTTCTCAGATTTAATCGAAAAGATCTTCATATGCGCTCTGAAGATGAATGAAGGTCTTATGGGTTTGGAATGACATGAGTTAAAAAATTTACACCTCTGCATAAAACATACAGCTACATAATAGCATTATTGGCATGATTCCCCCCAAAAAATAAAATAAAATAAATAAATAAATAAATACAAAAAATGCATTGAAGGGATGCTTAAGTTTCAAATTTTCAGAATAACATTAACAAAACAATGTGACAAACCAACTTACCATGCATGTCACACAAATAATGCCACAACTTACACAGTAGTTTCACAGACAAGGCTTGAAGGAGTAGTTCACTTAAAAAACTTTTGCTGATAATTTACTCACCCCCATGTCATCCAAGATGTCCATGTCATTCTTTCTTCAGTCGAAAAGACATTTTTGATGAAAACATTCCAGGATTTTCCTCCATAATATAATGCACTTTGCTGGTAACCAAATGGTGTATCAAAATTAATGAATCTTTTTTCATGTCATTTGGTTCATTCAACGAACAAATGAACGAACTAACTCAGGAAAAGATTCGTTCATTTTGATAAACGAGTTCGAACAGGAGAGTCACGAATGCTCATCACAGAACAGAGCAAGCCGACCATTTGAGCTTATAAAACTTAAACTTTGTTATTTTATTTTTAAATGAGCGATCGTTTCGCTTGATAAGACCCTATTTCATCATCTGGAATTGTTTAAAGCCATTTGAACAGTTTGCAGTTTGCACTGAAACTGTCTTTTGAACCTTGAACCGTTTGGTTACCAGTAAAGTGCATTATATGAAGAAAAATGCTGAATGTTTTCATCAAAAACCTTAATTTCTTTTCGACTGCATGAAGAAAGAATGACATGGACATCTTGGATGACATGGGGTTGAGTAAATTATCAGCAAAAGTTTTTTTTTTTTTTTTTAAAGTGAACTAATCCTTTAAATCTAGTCCCAGACTACAATGCATGTTTGAGCTGTTTTAACTGAAAATAACTTGCACACTTACAAATATTAAAATATCTCAGAGCCATTGTTTTGTCTCAAGATGCACACCAGTAATGTTCTTTTCTATAGTGCATGTTTATAAAAGCTACTTAAATTTCCTAATTGAACTACAGCCTAATCCTGGCTTAATCTAAACCCTGTCTGTGAAACCAGGCCTATGTGTTTTTGATATGTTATGGAGCCCATGTAGTTAGGTCACTGACCGTAGCTGGCACGCAGGTGGGGGTTGCGCAGTCGGCTGTCTTTGCGCAGACTGCCCACAATGATGGTGACACAGGAGAGGAAGAGCACCAGACCGATGACGATGCCAGCCACCACCAGAGGGGACACCAGCAGGCTGGCTTCATTACCCCCTTCTTGGCAGTCTGGGTACTCATGAGCATGACTGCTCTGGTTTGAGCTCGCTGAATGGAGTACATGGTAGAACCAGAGACGGGATTGTGCAGAGGTTCAAAAGATTGAGGAAAGAAAGAAAGAAAGAAAGAAAGAAAGAAAGAAAGAAAGAAAGAAAGAAAGAAAGAAAGAAAGAAAGAAAGAAAGAAAGAAAGAAAGAAAGAAAGAAAGAAAGAAAGAAAGAAAGAAAGAAAGAAAGAAAGAAAGATGAGACGGATGGTCAGTTTTTATAGCAGTTTCAATAATTTACAGTAGCAAGTGTTACATAAAACACAAAAGACACAATTTCTTCTTTCCCACACAGATCATAATGGTGTGGGATTATGTCATTTTCCATATAATAACCCTTCTTTGAGACACACAAACACACTCACACACCTACCTACCTCTCTGTGTACTGCAGATCAGGAACGCTCCCCAGACTTTCATCCCTCAGTGGATTAGATTCTCAAGTCTGCTGCGTTAAATTTTTAATCCTGACCCGTTTTAATTTTTAAATATGCGACTTTCATTCTCAACTCACAAGAAGCCCAACTTCAGCCATTAGCTCCCCTCTGTCTTCCTTCACCCTTTCCATTCAGACCAGAGGGAAACCAAAATAAGCCCTGCACACACACACACACACACACACACACACACTAAAGAGATACAGTCGGATTCAATAAAGCCTATTGGGAAAGATGATGATATTAACACTCTGTGGGCTTGAGGCCTCCAGCCCTTCCGGAGATAAACAAGACTGCAATCAAATCACTGAATCTGTGGGGCCAGCAGTGCTTGAATGGTAACCATATTTATTCTAAGGACAAAGGAACCATTTGGAAGTGTTTAGTTGCCCAAGATAAAAAACAAAAGCAAAAAAACACTTCAATTTTCTCAATACACTGCACATCACCCAATTTCTCAAAGAATCTGAAAGTTTGTACGAAGATTTAGTCTCTCTAAGCCCCTCCTTTCCCAGAGCTACTCTATTGGTCAAATGCCCAAGGCAGGCTGTGTCACCTGGTCTACTGCTTACAGTGCGTTGAAAATGTTGAAAATGAAACGGCCATTTCAATATCTGAATTTCAGCTCCAGAGGCTTCATCTGCACTTGTATACACAGTGATGCGAACAGGAATTTTCCGTATCAGTTCCAGCACAAATCCTCATCCTTTTGAAGAGCATGTAAAGTGAATCTGAAGCAACAAGAACCAAACTCTTCCTTGCCTAAACTATAACTAGTGTTTGAGGGCGTGTCAAAGCAGACACTGTTCAAGGAAAGTCAATGAAGCCCATAGGCTGGAATTATGCACATATATCACATTGTTACGCGAGTATGACAGAAATTGCTGATGACTTGTTTCGTCAGTTTAGAATTGATTCTTTAGTTTAGGAGACAGCAACTTTATTTTACGTGCACTTTGATCTTTAAAACTTTGCAGACCTTTTAGATTCACAAACAGCTCCATTACATAAATGTAATGATCAAAAAAGCATAATTTTACCGGTTGAGCTATATATTAGGGCTGGGTAATATCGATTTCTCGATATTAATCAATTCTCATTTTTACGAACCAATTTCGATTCCTAAATCTCAAGAATCGATTAGTCATCCTGTTTCATTTGAATGAATGGATCACTGTATCGCGGCTGCGCGCATCCTAAAAAATTGCAATAATCTGTGTCCTTTGTTACTATTAATATGAAACAAAGTCTCAATTTTGAAATTACGTCCATTTTCTTTAGAAATTCAAAATAACGTTTTGGCGCTGTGGCGTGAGATCGCTCTGGCGCAGCTCAAGAGAAGCAGCAGCGCTGATCTCTCTTCCGGCTTAATATTACCAGTCACAGCGCCAAATAAACATGAATGAGCATCTGAAAGTGTGTTAAAAGATAGAGTACAACTTATCGAAATCCGTATTATGTCACATTGATTCACTCAATCAGCGTTTCAACCGTGGAAAGACGTCAGTTAAACAGCTTGTAATCAATGTATCGTCATATTTACCTCAGAAAACCCACATCAACTCGTTAGTCAGCTTGAAAAAAATAACTCCAGAGAGGAGCATTTTGCTAAATATATAAACCATATTACATATGCATTATAATCTTAATGTTTTTCAATAAGCATATTTGAATAAATCTGGCAAGTTTTTTTGACAGTCCCCATTTAAATGTTTATATTTCACATAATCTTCTTATTATAAAATAAATAAAAGTGTAATTAAAGTGTTTGTATAGCTACAAAACAGGCTAATGAAGCCTAGTAGGCTACAACTAGACTCCCATAGTTTACAGCATTAGTTAAGAGATTTGATTTCCTTGAGAAAATTTGCAATTTATTGTAACGGATATCCAAAATAATCAATATTGAATCGAATCGAATAGGAATCGAAATCGAATCGAACTGCAAGCTTGTGAATCGAAATCGAATCGAATTGTGAAATTTGTGTCAATACCCAGCCCTACTATATATTGACTTAATTTATCACATTTGAAAAAAAATATAACAAATCTGCCTGGAATGATTGAGCAAAACACCACACCTTACTGATACCAAACAAGGCCACATGTAGTTCAAAATACACAGTCAATCAAAAGACAGACATCAATAATTTAACACTTTTACCATCACATGTGCTTTCCTACACAAGGAGCAACAGAAAGAGTAACACAAAGGGTGTTGAGGTCAGCTGCATATTTGCTATTTTGAACTTCAGTCAGTGCTGTTAAAAATTATAACATATTTTTTTCTGAATATATTTAAACTTTATAAAGGTCCTGAATCTTTTTAATGTGTAATATGGGTTTAATATATATATATATATTAATATATATATATATATATATATATATATATATATATATATATATAAACATTTAAAAAAAGTTTATATATATATATATATAATACATACAGTATTTACAGTACTTAATTACAGTACTTGTGTATACTACATACAGTACTTTTTTTAAATGTTTATATATATATATATATATATATGAAGAGTTCAGATGCAAAAGCCTCTAAGTGCCATTTGAATTTTTCTTCTAGAATGATAATTTTTATCAAGCTTGTATGTTAAAGTTCAGTAATTTCACTTAAATTGCAATGAAGATAACCTATTAATTGTCATTTAAGTGAAATTACTGAACTTGTCAGTTAGATGACGCCCTAGGATCGCGTGTACCCTACCCCCACCTAAACCTAACCGCGTCCTCTAACTGACGCTTTCCTTTAGCGTCAGTTAGATGACGCCGTAGGATCGCGTCATGTAAGTGACGCTAAAGGGCGCCTAAAACGTCAAATATTGAAGCATGGTCAAAGGTGACGCCTTGGGGTGAGAATGCGTTGTATATATATATATATATATATATATATATATATAGTACTCACAGAATGAGTGACTATCACCTGTGCTGTTGCAAAGATTTGGAAAAGAAACTGAGATGCTAAATGTTGGTCTCTTCTTATTCAACTTTGTGAAGGTGCAATACAGCAGTGTTTTATATATATATATATATATATATATATATATATTAGGGGTGGCACGGTACATGAAAAAACACCCGAACCGTTCGGTTCGCTTGTCTCGGTTCGGAGCGTGTGTGCGTCTCACGGTTCGACGCATGCGCAATGTAACCTCGTGCCCGTATGTGCCGTGTGTTTTCTTTTCGCGCGACATAAGCTTGTTCGACTTGGACCGGCGCTGCACAGAGCGATCGGTGAATAACATCAATCTAGCGCGAGTCGGCTCCGTATGCATTCATCACTTTCGCGGTATTTGATGTCATTACCGATCGCTCTGTGCAGCGCCGGTTCAAGTTAATAAACAAGCCAGTAAAAGTGGAGTATGGAGTGCTGCAGGTCACGGCACGTGGAGAAATGGCAGGTGGGAGAGATGAGGGAGTTGGAGGATGCGCCAGCGTCGTATAAGTCTATGGTATAAGTCCAGTGTGTGGGAACATTTTGGATTTCATGTTATGATATTTTAATTTAACTACAGTGGCACTTTATGTATAGATAAGAGCTTCAGTCATACGTTTCCAAACCCTGCACTTTAATTTTAAGTGGAAAAAAGTACCCTCACATTTTGGGACTAGAAGCATTGTTGATAGTACTGTTTTTGTGTTGAGGTTGAACTTAAATTTCACTTTATGTTTATGGCCTTTGCTATTGCTATAGCTAAATTATCTATAGGCAATGAGGTTTCATGTATATTGACATTTAAAAGACAGTGTTTTAAGAGTTCCTCTCTTTTTCTTTTAAAAGATAGAATTTTGGTAAGAGCTACAAAAGTTAGCAGTTGATACATGAAAGTTAATTTCTTTGTGTAAATAAGATTTATGTGATAAAAATGCACAAGTTCTTGTAGAGATAGTGATACACATTCTCCTTTTTTTTGCCAAATAAACAAAAAGCATGTCAATTTTCTTCTCTCTTGCTGTATTTAAATCTCACCTAGCTTTCCTCTGAGATAGTCCAAAAATGTGCTTAAAGTCAAAGAGTCAAATTCAGTTTGTGCATGATTGCATGAATATAATATATATTTTTTTAATACTGTATCCTAAAGTGTGGATAATTAAGCTATATATCACATGCTGAAGTACATTTCTGGAGTGTTAAAGATTAAAAGAAAAAATAACAAGAACCGTACAGAACCGAAAACCGTGACCCTAAAACCGTGATACAAACCGAACCGTGGGTTTTGTGAACCGTGCCACCCCTAATATATATATATACAGTATTTACAGTACTTAATTACAGTACTTGTGTACAGTACATACAGTAGAACCTGAGATGCTAAATGTCGGCCTCTTCTTATTCAACTTTGGGAAGGTGCAATACAGCAGTGTTGTTCACACCTCAATGCTCACGAGAGTCTTTAGAAACGAGCTGTGAAAACACGGTTGTGTATCAGACTCGGTTAATTATAAGTTTAAAATTATAAGTTCGGAGTATTCACAAACCTTTACAATTATTTAAACAAATTAAGTAAATTAAGTAGTGCTATATAGTCATTCTTTCAAAGACACTACTGTTAAAAATTTTGGGGTCATTCATTTCTTTTAAAAAACAGTCAAAACATTTATATATCTTTTCAACTTTTCAACTATTTATGTTTCCTCTGAGCTCATATCTGAGCTTACCATACCTACAGTTAAGCCTCTACACTTTGAATGTGTTTTTGTGAAAGTAATTTTTCATGAAAATAAAAGCTTAATTATCGGTAGCATATACAGACCTCCCTCTTCGCCAGCTGAAACTTTTGATCACCTGATATCTACTATTGACTCCATTTCCTGTAATAATGAAATTATTTTACTAGGTGACTTCAATAAAAACTGGTCAGACAAATCATCTGATAAAGTGAAGAATTTATTTAGTAATTTAAATCTCTCACAGTTAATTAAGGAACCAACTCGTATCACTCCTACATCTCAATCCCTGCTTGATTGGATCCTTGTTTCACATCCAGATAGATTTCTAAAGGTAGGTGTTATGTCTGATTGCTTTAGTGATCACTCGATAGTTATATTGTGTATGGAAGATCAAATTACCTAAATCACCACCAAGACTTATCAAATTAGGCAATATAAGAAACTGAATTCAGATTTATTTTTTAATGATCTGATTTGCTATAAATTGGGACAGATACCAACTTATACCTAATGTCAAGATGCATGGGATTTCCTTTATACTGAGTTCACTGATGTTCTGGACAAACATGCTCCATGGAAATCTGTCTTGGTCAAGGCCAGGGTAAACATTCCCCCTGGATTGACATGAACTTATTAGCCTCTTTAGGCAGAGGGATAAAGCTTGGTCAATTTTTCGTCGTACAAGGGCTAATGCAGATTGGGAAGTATACAGACAGTTGAGAAATATGAGTAAGACAAAAACCCGTAATGCCAAATCTAATTATTATAAGGATAGCCTCAGTAATGATTCTATGAATCCTAAACAATTCTGGAAAAAAAAAATTAAAAACTATTACCAATACATCAGATAAACATTGTATTAACCAAATACGAGTTTCAAATACAATTCTACATGACTCTATCTA